AATGTTCTCTTAACTAATCGTTTTACTGGAAAAAAATGTTTTCATGCATAAAATCTTGATTGGTTAGTCTCATTGTTATTAGTCTTTTTTTTCCTTTGATGTTAAAAAAATAAAAATAAAAAAAAAATCAATCATTGTTCTCTTTAATTAACTAATCGTTTTACTGGAAAAAATTGTGTGAAATTTGAAGGAGAAAAGGCATGATTGGCCCACCGAGTCTGCGGTATGATTGATCATAAATCGAACCGGGCCGTTAAAATTGATTCGGGCCCCATTCTGAATTTGAGACTTTTATTTTAAGTTTGTACTTTTTTGTTTTTGGTGATTGCTTTGTTGGATGTGGATCTCTTGGCACTGTGCATTGCGGTTTAGGAAAAGGAAAAGCAAATAAAACAGAAAAAATCTTTGTTTATAGTTCAAGATTGGGGGTAATTTTACTGTTGTGCAATTGATGTGAAAGTTTGTGTCTTGGGTTTGATTTTGAACAGAAAGGTATGAAAAATTGTGGTTGAAAAAAAAAAGAAATAGGACAGAAAACACATAGTAATAAGTGTATTTGATGTTGATCATAATCAATTGTTTTATGTCTTTTCTGTACTATTCTATGATACGATATTTAGTTGAATATAGCATGTGCTAGCTGAATTACTTCTTAAAATTGATAATTTTTGTGTTTTGTATTAAATTTGCTTGTACTGCTTAAAACCAATCTGTTGTGCTTGTACTGCGGTCACAGAATTCATAATTTGTTTGGTTTGGATTCATGTGGTAAAAGTCCTTATAGATAAAGCTGGTGCTACCATAAGTGTTTTNTTTTTTTTTTTTTTTTTTTTTTGTTCTCATTAAAAAATATATAATAGGCAATGGGAGATCCAATGAAAGAAAATGATCAAGGTTCAGGATATCAAAGTTGGACTATTGAAGAGAGCAATGAACTTCTTAAACTTATGGTTGATGTTAGTAATCGTGGTTGGCGTGATCATGCTGGAAAAATAAATAAGATAACAGTCGAAAGACATATACTAAAACCTTTGAATGAAAAGTTAGGGATCACTCGGACTTACAATCAATATACAAGTCGAGTGAAATATTTTAGGAAACAATATGCTAAGTACAATGAGCTTATGCGGCATAACTCTGGATTTGGATGGAATTCTGTAACAAAGTTCTTCACTGCCGATGATGAAATCTGGGAAGACTACTTTAAGGTTAGTTACCCCTTTTTTGTTTGCTTTTGTATAAATAATATATAAATAAGAAGTTTGGTACAACTTAAAATTATTATTTTTGCTCTTTGTTTTACCAGTCTCATCGTAACAATTCAAGCTTACGGACAGACCCTCATCCAGACTTTGAAAATCTGAGAATTGCAGTTGGTAACGGTACAGCTAAAGGGACATATTCTATTGCCATAGGAGACGACACTATAGAAGAAAATAGAGAAAGTGGGAGCTTGCTAGATGATTTCACATATGATCCCTCAAGTGATGCATTTATTCCATCAAGTACCCAAGATCCTTTTCCACCATCTCCCGAGAACTCTTTCGTGCCAACCTCGACTCAACAACAATACTCGGAGCCCCGTCCACCTCCAAGAAAACGAGCTAAAACTGATTCTCAAACTAAGGCTACCTCATTTGATCCTAAAGATATCCAAGACCTCGCAGAAAAGCTTACATCAAATGTGGAGAAGTTTACTCGTGCTATTGAATCAATTGACACAAAAGAGTACAACTGTTGGGATTTGATTAAG